CCTTTAGTTGTCAAGACTGTACACATTCTCAAAGGCCATGAGGGCACCCTCTCGCCTCAACAAAGCAACCAGATTAGCTCAGCAACGCATGTAGGAACCCATCCAGTGTCCTACACGGGTTGCTGACACCTTTGTGCAGCCCAACACACCCAAAAAAGGGAGTGTTGGACCGTTGTGGTGGTTATTTCTGTGTTTCTACGCCAAAAAATATAAAAATTTATTCTCATCTTTTTCTACATCAGATATAAGGTAAAATAAACATCAAAAATGGATTCCTGAGGTAAAATAACCCCTAGTCACCCACTACAACTACCCCCTTATCTCTATTAGTTCAGAAGTTACACCTATGTCAACCTATCACAGGATATCTCTTGGATTCTTTACTCTGACTATAGCTCAATTTGAATACAGGATGCGTATTTGATATTGAATTCCTTTGTTTCATATTGAATTCCTTTATTAGCTCATATTACATATTGAATTCCTTTGTTGGTGCACATGCATTCCTTTGTAGTAGGACCTTGTAGGCTAGCTAAAATCCCTCAAGGCAGTGCTCTCACCAGCCAAATTCCCTCACCTGCATGTACTAGACTAGCTAAATTCCCTCATTGGATTTTCAGGCCAGCCAAATTCCCTCACCTGCATGTACCCTGGAGCTTAATTCCCTCACTTTTGTCTATATAAGGAGGCCTCTGCCTGCCAGTTGTATCCCTCCTCATCAGATGCTCTGTAGTCAGTCCCCCCCATAAACACTACATCACTGGTCACTCTTCAATATTATTAGCTACCTAATATTGAGGTTTTACAATTATAACCCCCCTTATATATTATAACAGTTTATAGTGTAGAAATATCAACATTACTTTTTTTCATAACCACTAAGCTATCTCACCTTTGCCTGAAATCCACTGCTTTTTTGGCTTCATACACCCCAACCACAAGGACCTGGGTTCAATTCTCATTCAAGACATCCACTTTAACTCCACCTTAACTCCACCTTAACTCCACCTTATCTCAAACTGTCTCCACCTTATCTCCACCTGTGCCTGGTCCTCCGTTCCATTCCTGGTTGAAGCATAGTGCACACAGTGGCAGCGCCTTGTTCCAAATCACCTCGTTGAACTACATATACCATCGACCTCAAGAGCGTGCGTACACGACTCAAACTCGACAACATTCACC